GACGTCTTGTGTAAACTGAGTTGTCAGAGGGGCTAATCACGATGACAATAACCCAATTCCAAGCGACTCGCTGATAATACCACAAAATACGACTAGCGACAGACCATACAACCGTCGGCACAACCTATCACGCTAGCCAAAAGGGTCTCGGATCGTTGCTCTGAACCGGAACACTTTCCTGCGTGTACACGAATTCCCAACGTCTCCTCAGCAAAATTGCAGAGCTTCGGTTGCGCCAGGCAATAAACGCTTTGAGTCTCATCTACATAACCGAGACATGGTCTGAAGCAGGGATAACAGATGCCGAGATCGCGATTTAGGGTATGCCCTTGTATCGACACACTCGTTCCAGTAGGGGAGATGGTGCTATCCTATAACGACTTACAACGCGAACCACTGGATGATCCGGAGACACAGGTCACCGATTCACTTTGGTGTCCTTTGCGTCTCAGACACAACGGCAACTGCTGCGTGTCAGTCGTGTATCGCTTTCCACCTTCCACTCCAGAGATGGATTCCTGCCTTATATCATCCCTGACGAAATGCTTATTCCCAACTTATAGACATCTCCTTATCTCCGGCGATTTGAACGTGCACGACTTCGAAACCTCGACATCCTCCAGCGAAACATACAAAGCTGAACTGCATGACACTCAATCCACGTCTCGCCTCAACTACCAGGTACAATCCTGATAACAAACTATCGGTATTTGAGCGCGTACATAAAGGGAACTCATTGTCGACAGGCCATGTAGAGACACCCCAAAAGGGTAAGGCGATCATGTCACGATAAATTCGAACTATGTGTGTTACCCTGAATATCCTGAGGCACAAACAGCACTAGCACGCACTACCACATATTACAACATCTAGAACAACCTAGTTGAGACGACAGATCGGGAGTTCTTGTAAGGTTGCTCTCCTGATAGCGCCTTGATTCAATTTGTTAGACGCTTCAGCAATCTAATCACAACTGATTCAGAAATGAAGAGGGTTCGCTCCACCAATCCCTCATCTTTCATCAGAAGCAGAACCTGCAGGCGAATATCAATAAAGAATGCAGCTTGCGCACTTACAGAGCTCGTCCTAACCTCGAAAGCTGGGAAGTTTGCGTGACCTAGCGTAAATAATGTAACATGTTTGTCTGTGAGGACAAATTGACTCACCAAAAACATTTGGCCTGTAAATTTGCCAACAACATAAAGCCCCTATACAAGCATGTTATCACCATCAGGAAAGTGAAGTGCGGTATAACACCATTAACACGCCAGTCGGAGTGGCACAGGGTGCCGAAGCGTCAGCCAACGGCCCGCGAATGCAGTATGACCCAACATTCCAACGAGACGTCCACCTCTGTTTCATACTCACATCCCTAGATCTAATATCAGAACCCAGTGACATTAAGTTTACTGCCACAGCTGTGCTGAAGAAACCGCTCTCACTACGCACCTACAACTCTCCTGGACGTTAAACGTACAGGCAACAAAGCTGCTTGGGCCTTTACCGCATTTCTTCCAAACATTACTGGATAAATAAATTGTGCTTACCATGTGGAAATATGCATTAACGAGACAAATTTGCAAAAGCGTTAATCGCTCGGAAACCTCCAACTATCGCCCAGTGATCCTCCTCCCTGTGCTCTCAAAGGTGATGAAAGCAATCATCACCAAATGTTTAGTAGACCATCTAGAATGTCCCAACATCAAAGCACCCGAGCAACACAGTTCCTACTAGCACCGTTCATGCACTACCAACCTACTGATTGCACGTAGTAGTTGGACGGAAGCGGCCGGTGTAGGTCTAGAGGGACAGAGGTCATTTGACTCGACTACTCCAAAGTCTTCGACCGATTGCACCACTGCATTCGCCTTCACAGGCTCGAAAGCTATGGAGTTGGTGATCCTGTCATTGGGTAGATCAGGAATTTCCTACAGGATTAACAACTGCAGCTCGGAGTTCGAAGTGCCTTGTCCGATCCGATTTATGTCAAATGTGGAGTTCCATCAGGATCAGTTCTAGCGCCGGGTCTGTTTCTCATGTCCATTGACGAGCTTACGCTTTTGATTGCTTCAGATTTCTTGCTGTGTGCTTACGGTGTTGATGTGGCGGACGATTGCCGATCCTGCAGATCACGATATACATCAGCGAGACCTGGACAGAGCGTATGGGTAGTCACTGCACAATCTGCTCCAGTTCAATACGGCAAAGTGTAAACTGGTTCACATTCGCCAACATCCGAACATTAAATACAAGCTTGGAGACCATGTCCTGCAAGCAGTCATCAAAGAGCGCTACCTTGAGGTAGTAGTCCAGCCTGATTTAGGCTGCTCGGAACAAAATGAGACTGCGTCAAAGACTGAGGACTAACACGTTGGCATGCTGCAGAGTGGATTCGGGCTGTTTGATCCCTCTGTCTATTCGGAGTTGCACAACACATACATGCGACCTCATGTGGAATACACAATCCAAGCCTGGCAGCCCCGGCACAAGCAAGAATTTGCAGCGCTCGGGACTCCTTAGCGACGAGCCACGAAGCACGTCAAATGGTTGTTCACTCTTCCTTATCAACTTAGACTGAGGACCATAAAATTATGCAATACTTGGTCTTGGCCAGGGCATCTGGGTCTGCTAACGCAGGGCGTGTGGGTCTTGATTGCTTGACGACGGCGTGTTCTGCACTTGCTTATTTTTCTCATGCAACTGGTCAATCATAAACTGAACACGAGCGTGGATCAACCACGTATTCATGATGGAAAGACAATGGGAATTCTCTGTTTGTTCGTACGCCCATTTGAATTTGTACCGGCGCTTACGTGGCCAACTTATTATGCCCTACCAGCTTCTAAGGAACCCCGAGCGCATTCGCGCCACCTACTACAACTGAGACACAACACGAATTCGAGGTACCACCAGTTTAAGCTAGTCACACAATACAGTCAGCTGGAATATCGACGGCTTTGACTCTCTTCGTGTGTGCCTTCCATGGAACATCCTCTCAAATTACCTTGTTTCCGCTCCTGATTTACCTGTGATTACACAGCGCCTTGACATTGCTATAACCCACCTACTTTACGAGGTGTAGCCTGTGTCTCGACAGACGATTTAACGTGACGAACGTTGCAAAACCATAGTTAACCCACACAACTGTTGGCCCTTTCTGTATGCCTCTGTGTTAAGATTGGCGAGTCCAACCAAACCATTTTCATTCTATGGGTGTTTTTTTATTCACCACCGACATAAACTCCATTCCCACTCCAATGGAAGTCATCCTACTGATGTATGCTGATAACGTGATCTTTGGTGTACACAATCCCACGAAAGATGCATCCGCCAACTTGCAATACTTGTTGGACAACCTCACCTCTTTTCTTTCACTCAACACATCAAAGTGTAAAGATTTTATCTTCTTGCTAGCCAAGGAAAACTTAGCAACAGCTTCTGACGCATACCTCGCATCTTAGCATTGACAGTGTCAGTCTAAACCGCTGTACATTAGTGAAAAAGCTGTTACACTATGCCTAGATCACACGTGGTCGCATCGTGTGAGTGAAACATTCACTAAAGTCAGGAGACTAGCCTTTTATGTCCGCTGACTTAGGAAATCATCCGTGTCTAGTTACCTGATTCTACGGTTTGTCACCGTTTACGTACTACCGCAATGAACGTATTACTCAGACGCGATATTTCCCGGATTCATAAACGGGCAATTTAAAGCGATCAACAGGTCGCTGAAGCATCTTGCTCGATGTAGCGGAATTTCTATGCTAGTGTATATTAACATCTTTTTGTCCAATCATGTTCGCTCCTGTGAAAAACTGGCTTCCAAATTACTCACTGGCGTCAGTCATCCCCTTCATTGTGTATCGACGGAAAGTATGTCGATTTCATCGACCAGGCAAACGTACAAAGCTATTTGTGCCTGTACATGGCCCTTACGGTACGTCTGTTCTTCCCTATGTGTCACGTTATCTGAGGGATCAAAACGTAGTCAAACAAGGCCTTATTGCCAGACTGAATCGATGAAATCACTACGATCACATTTTTTAATTGGGGGAGTGCCATGTGCATCTACCATATTTTATTTGATTGTATTTTCCCTTAGTGGGTGTGCTGTAGCGTGATATTTACTCCAAATGGGTGCATAAAGCGCATTATTGACTTGACTTGACTTGACCATGTTGCGGTTCTCATTCCGGTCATCCTAAGGGATTTGGTAAACATCCGCTTTTTTGCCCATAATATATCGTTGTTCTGTTGTTCCGTCATCCTCAGTAATGTGTTTGCCTCTTACGCACTATGGAGTTTGGCCTCTGATGTGTTTGATGCTGTAGTACTAAATTGATTGAAGAACACCCAGACGACATCGATGGGTGGTTTCACTAGAAATAGCCAATCAGTGATCTTGATGAGGTCGGATAAAATCTTCCGATGCGTTCCTATTCGGATCTCTAGGACTTCTCTGTTGTACTATTCTGCGTTACAGACGCAGCGGGAAAGACGTGTTACGTGATAACTGCATCCCGAGGGGCTACTCACTGTTACTGTGTTTCTTCTTGTTACTGTGTTCCTCCATGGTCAAGACGAGGTAGAGAATACCTGCCTTGTTCCCTCTTCTGAATAGCGTAGGGAAAGTAACATGATTATGAACTGGTCCGCCATCGACTCGGTCTTGTAGTTCGGCCTTAAACTGTTCACCAACGGAGACCGGAAACACTAGGGCGTGCAAGTTGAATTCTCCAACAAGGAGAACGTGAGTGTTAAACTGCTCCGAAAAGGTCTTCAGTATAGAAGTTAGAAGTTTGGCCATTTCCAGAGTGGACATTGGAGTATGGCATACGAAGGCAAACAAATATGTAACACAACGCCATAGTTGCAGAAGCCACCAAATTAAATTCACAACTTAAAACTCTGGGTCGTCAATGGCTTGGAAATGCAGGCCACTGCGATAGTACCAAAGTACACCACTTTCCCTACTAGGTCATTCTCTATGCAGTACTGAAATGCATGGTAACTCTATCTCCGTATCATTGATATCATCGTTCAGCTAAGTCAGTTATCTTTATCAAGTCTATAGACATCGAGGCTTCAGGAGATTGAAGCTCGGATAATTTGTTGAAGAGGCCCTGAACATTGGCAAGCATACAGGAGAGTGTTTCGAAAACTAGTAGTGCATGTGATGGTGAGAGTGACAGGTGCGAGCTTTTGCCGACCATTGAACAATGAACAATGATACATTACAAGTAAAAAAGCGATAGCGTTACAAGTCCCGTAGGATGGTTAAAGGGAAAGTAAACATAAGGGTAAATGGTCAATTTAAGCGTCGTGTGATTCAGGTGCCCCTTATGCAAATAAACATTGTAGAATGTGCACTGAATTGTTACTGTAGAGTAATATGGGATGTAATATGGGGAAGGCATGTCTTAAGAACAAAAGAAACGACAACGTTTACTCGTGCGCTGCTTTCTTGGACTGAGGTAATTGATGAATGCAGTTGTAATATATCTGAAACTATATTCCACAACAGCAGTGTGTAAATAGTGAAGCACGAAAGCTGAGAATGAGCACCGTTTTTTGCGCGTTTGTTTGACGTAGACATCTTTGATTATATAGCGTAATGTAAGTGGATAAGCGAATCATCCAAACTTCTTTTGAATACCGTTAGCGTGGGGGGAAAAACAACGTATGTGGGAAGAGCGTTCCAGTGTTCGCATACACGAAGGGAAAAGGAATTCAGGCGGCATTCCAACCGGCTGTATTGTGTGGCCAGCTTTAGCTGGTGTCCTCTGAGTGTTGTATTGCGACTCATCTTTAGTAGGCGACGACAGGAATGGTTCGAATTTCTCAAGATCATATAAGTCATTATCAAGCCGCCACGCAGGCGTCCATATTGTCCACTGTAGACCCTGAGGGTTTTCAGCCTCAATCGGTAAGGGAGATGAAACAGGCCCTTTACGTTTTTGGTCGCCCTTCTTTGTCGCAGTTCAAGAGCGGTAAGGTCTTGCTTTTGCCATGGCTGCCAGGCGTGGATGGTGTACTCAGAATGAGGCCGAATGTAGGAGTTGAGCATCTGCGAAAAGATGGAAGGATCGAAGCGCCCGAATGCACTCTGCAAAAGGTCAAGGTGTTGATTAGCTTTTTTGGAGGCTTTCTTGGCGTGACGGGAACAGCCCAGATCTTCCTGCACTACCACTCCTAGATCGCATTCCGTTGTAGTGCGCTGCAATATTTGATCCCCCAGTCTGTATTCGCAAGTGGCTTTATGGCGTATACTCAACACCTTGCACTTTGTAGCGTTGAACTGAAGCAGGTTCTGAGTAGACCATTCGTAGACCCTGTCAAGATCATCCTGATGTGCTGCATTGTCGCTAGTTTTTCTAATGACTCGCCATATGTTGAGATCATCAGCGAATAGTAAGGAGTTGGTGCCTACTGTCGCGAGATCGTTTATGTAAATCAGGAATAGTCGTGGACCAAGTACTGAGCCGTGGGGCACTTCGCACTGAACTTCGATTGGGTCAGAGATGATGCCGCGAACTCTTAGATTCAGATGTCGTTGAAGCAAGAAGTTACCTATCCAACCGAGGATTGGGTCACCCATTCCACAATACTGCAGCTTGTGATGGAGGATACGGTGGTTCAGACAGTCAAAGGCCTTTGAGAAGTCCAGATATACTGCGTCAACACCTACGCCGCCGACAACTAATCGTTATTTTGATGAACCGCTGGCACTGAACTTTGAGCCGCTTCATCTTGCCTGCTAAGATGATCTCATGATGAATTGCGGTTTCAGTAGGTATTGGGAAAGTTGCTACCCTTTCAACAAACGGTGGTTCATCGCAGTGATCCGTTTCGCAAGACTTACTGGGGTCACTGTCAGATGCGAGTGAATTTGTTCTCTCTCGGTCGTTTGGGATTTGGTGTTGATGGCTTTTATTCTTAGCTTTGATGGGAGCTTGTTACTCCACTTGCGGTACATTTCAAGTGCACATTCGGCCATGTGTTTGGGCTGGGACAAAACTTTAGAACAATACTTGGCATATTCGCAACTAGGTAAGGCTCGGCCCAGTTAAGCTGGTCCGATCGTAGCTACAAAGGAACTGCGGAATGGTTTTACAAAATTGCTGTATAAAACACTTGTAGTTCCAATTCCATTTGATTCTTGCGTCATTGCCTTCATTTCAAAATTCGTCGGAATGCACGACAATTGCAGAACATTCAGATGTAGTTAGGCGGTTGGTCGGGAAAAGAAAGCAAAATAACAAATTTCTGGGAGGTGCTTGACAGTATGTACAAGGCAAACAATTCAAAAGTTCATAACACTGGTATATAACAATAATTTATGAATAGTGATTGTGAGCAGACATGAAAACACGACGGACAGTGAAAATGAGAACTGCATCCATCATGAAATATAAATCAATTAGAATTAATGACGTACCTCTAACGAGAGGTAAGATGTGACAACACTGGGCAAATGGAATTGCGTACATAACTTTGGTGGATTATTTGTGGCCATCAACAATTCACTCTTCCAGTGGGTAGATGTCTTGCAGGCACTCAAGCTTTTTCACCTAACTGTGTAATAGAAAGTAAGCACCATATGATGGCTAAGCCAAAAACTTGCTTATCCAAAGCACCAATGTGTGTACTTTTTTCAAAGGCCACCAGTGTGTCTTCAACCTAAGTAAGAGCACAGTGAGAAGCTGTGTAGATGAAGAAATAATCAAAGATAAATCCCATCTATACAACTCATCGATGAGCACGTGTTTTCATGGGTTACCAACGGGCCATCATTTTGCGTAAAAGGAGGAATATAGCACTACAAAGATAAAAGCAGAGATAGATCTCATTTATTCAACATATCAAGGTACCAATCTTTTCATAGGCCAACGATGGGTCATCAGTTTGAGTGATACCGAAGGATGTGACAAAGTAGGAGGAAGGAATGAGAAACAAATCGAAGTTATCTAACAAGAACACTGTGGTTCACGTTGCGTCGACAAGCCCTTCTCGCCATATTTATCTGTACTTTTATATCGCTAACTCCGCAAGTACTTAGATATTACCAGGCCTATTCTCATACACCCATCCGTGTGTGCAACTGACATGAAACAGTTCTCTAACTTTACTAACAGTTACGTACTCTTTTAGTTGCATCCTAAATGTTCGAAGTGAAGATGTACTTCTGATGGTCTACCAATCTATTGGAATAGTGTGATATTTGTGTGTAAAGCTGTTGTATCTCAGACATGTGCGGTAACGAGGTAGCTTTGTCACATAGTCTTTGTTTTTAGGTCATGCGGTGAAGATTCTTGGAACACCGACTGATAGTAACTAGTTTATCTCAGTCGATGGACAATTTTGAATAATAGACATAAATTCCGCCTTAATCTTCGAAGCCATAGTGGTTTGATTTTTAACAAATGACGTCTATCTTTAAGTGATCTTAGAGTCGCAGCTCACGATTCTTTTGGTAATCGACTTTTGTATAGCTTCGATTGTCCTCTTGTCGCAATTTCTAATGCTTCTAAAGGTGGTTGCACACAATTCTACTAATGCTCTGGCGTACACTTTGGATGACAGGAGCTTAACATCGGTTGTTATAAAAAAGCGGCCTATCATTCCAATAGTCTGTCTTGTTTTAGCCACCATATACTCAACTTGTTCTTTGGCATTCAACTAACCTAAGTAACGGAGACCTAAGTGACATATCGATTCGCACCAAGGGCGGGGATTCCATGCATAAACAAACATTCAGGTGGAACCAAGAATCCATAGCACATAATACTGCAATTATATGTTGAAAATTTCAAGGAAGATCTGACACACCAGTCTTCCAGTGTCACTTTATATCGCAGATATAAAAGACGGAGATTGAGAATTAGTGACATATAAAATTTTTATATAATATGCGAACAAATAAGGTCCATCATGCCTTATTGCAAAGGCAAAATCATTTACATATATCAAAAAAAGTGGGCCGAGTACACTACCTTGTAACACGCCACCAATAATATCTCTTGTTTCTGAGAGATGCTCATCTATCTTGACTGTCTGCTTTCGATCAGTGAGGTAAGCTTCTAACCAGGATAGTAATGAGACTGCGAATCCACAAAGGCGAAGTTTATGTGTAAGCTTTCTGTGTGAAACCCTGTCAAAGGCTTTATGAAGGTCCAAGTGAAGTACGATACAGGTCTTACCAGAGTCTGTCTACTTCTTTAGGTGATTAAAGATATCCAGCTCGCAAGTGACACTTGAACTTTTCTCAAGAAATCGGTACTTCACATGTGACAAAAGGTTGTTTGATGCTAGGAATTTGACTATTTCATTTGTAACTAGGTGCTTCATGATTCTGGAAATTATATGGGTGTGATTTATGGGCCGATGGTTGTTAAGGTTGTCTCTTGGCCCGGTTTTATGGCGTGGGGTCATTACCGTCAGTTTCCACTGATTTGGATGAAACCCAGTTGTTATTGATGCAGTAAATATGTACATTAGTAAGCATGCGACATCATTCCCAAAGGACTTTATAAGTACTGGAGGGATTCCATATGGATCAGGATGAAATGTAGTATTTAAAGCGTTAATTTGACGCTTATTTGAACCACCGTCGAAATCTAATTTAGTGATACATGGCCCACGGTACTGTGTGGAGTGATCCCAAAGTATTTCGTGCTGATTAGTAAAAGCGTCGGCGAAATAATTGTTTAAAGCGTCAGCTACAGGTGCAGGTACATCGACAAGGACACCCTCAGGCGTAATAAGATGCCTTTCGTTGTGTGCGACTCCGTTTGTTAGTCGTCGTGTGATCTCGAACACTCGATTAGCACTTTTCATGATTACGGTCTCTTCTTTCTTGAGATGAAGAAGTCGCAGGTTTTCATAATTTTGTCAACATTCTGTGCAGCGTAAATGGAACTGTGAAATCGTTAGTCCGTTGAACTGGTTGGAAAGAACTCTAATCTTGCTTTCGTGCTGTTTCTCCTGTGGCTGTGACTTATTTAGAT